ACGGGGTTTCACCATGTTGACCAGGATGGTCTCGATCTCTTGACCTCGTGATCCACCCACCTCGGCCTCCCAAAGTGCTGGGATTACAGGCGTGAGCCACCGCGCCCGGCCTCATTTATTTTATTTTTATCGTTTTTTTTGAGAAGTCTCTGTCCCCTGGGCTAGAGTGCAGTGGTGCAATCTCAGCTCACTGCAACCTTCACCTCCCAGGTTCAGGCGATTCTCTTGCCTCAGCCTCCCAAGTAGCTGGGATTACAGTCTCACGGCACCAAGTCCAGCTAACTTTTTGTATTTTTGGTAGGGACAGGGTTTCGCCATGTTGGCCAGGCTGGTCTGGAACTACTGACCTCAAGTGATCCACCTGCCTCAGCCTCTCAAAATGCTAGAATTACAAGTGTGAGCCACCGCACCTGGCCTATGTCTTGAATTTAAAAATCATTCTCAGGCTGGGTGCAGTGGCTCACACCTGTAGTCCCAGCACTTCGGGAGGCCAAGGCACGATTGCATGGGCTCAGGAGTTCGAGACCAGCCTAGGCAAAATTGGGAGACAAAAAAATACAAAAAACCAAAAAAAATAAAAAAACAGCTGGAAGTGGTGGCACACACCTGTAGTCCTAGCTACTCGGAGGCTGAGGTGAGAGGATTACCTGAGCCCAGCAAGTTGAGGCTGCAGTGAGTCAAGATCGTGCCTTCACGCCCAGGTGACAGAGTGAGACCCTGTCTCAAAAAAACAAAAAACAAAGCAACACTACCACCACCAAAAATACCCACAACACTGTCTGTCCTCCATCCTCCTCCTAGTCAGAAAACTTTTTTGTTTTTTGTCGTTTATGTTTGAATCAGGCTCTCACTCTATCACCTAGGCCAGAGTGCACCATCTTGGCTCACTGCAACCTCTGCCTCCCAGGTTCAAGCTAACTTTTTTGTTTGTTTTGTTTGTTTTTTGAGACAGAGTCTCACTCTTGTTGCCCAGGCTGGAGTGCAGTGGCACAATCTTGGCTCACCACAACCTCCGCCTCCCTGGTTCAAGTGATTCTCCTGACTCAGCCTCCTGAGTAGCTGGGATTACCGGCCACCATACCCAGCTAATTTTTTGTATTTTTAGTAGAGGTGGGGGTTTTACTACATTGGTCAGGCTAGTCTTGAACTCCTGACCTCAGCCTCCCAAAGTGCTGAGATTACAGGTGTGAGCCACTCCGCCTGGCCAATTCTTTTGGATTTTTAGTAGAGACAGGGTTTCACTATGTTGGCTAGGCTGGTCTTGAACTCCTGACCTCAAGTGATCCGCCCGCCTTGTCCTCCCAGTGCTGGGATTACAGGTGTGAGCCACTACACCCTGCCTGTTCCTGGTTTTAAAGGAAATGCTTTCAATGTTTTTCCAATACTAATGGTGTTTGCTGTAGTTTTTTTTTTTAAATAATTTTTATTGGTTAAGGAAGAGCCTTTTTATTCCTACTTTACTAAGAGTTTTGTCATGCATGGATGTTGAATTAAATGCTTCTTAAAGCCTCTTTTATTGTGAAATATAACACACAGAAAGATAAATGCAGGAAAACAAGAAACAAATACCTAGAGAGGGAATAACCCCCATCCAGGCTAAGTCAAAGAACTTTGCCAGTACTCCAAAAGGCCCTGTGTTCCTGCCTAGTCATACACCACTCCCTGCTCACCAGGCATAGGCAGTACTCTGACTTTTTTTTTTTTTTTGAGACAGGGTCTTGCACTGTACCCTGGCTGGACTGCAGTGGCAGGAATGTGGCTTACTGCAACCTCCACGTCCGTGGTTCTAGTGATCCTCCCACCTCTGCCTCCTGAGTAGCTGGGATGACAGGGCGCACCAGCATGCCTGGCTAATTCTTTTTTTTTTTTTTTTCATTTTTCAAATACACTTTTATTTTCTGATTTCCTTCCTCAGAACTCCTGCACACACCGCACTTCTTGCAGCCATGAAGTCACTTGATGTTGGCCAGGTACCATTTTATCCCTAAAATTTTGTTGACATCAAAGTATGATAGTTGACCGGCGTTACTTCCATAAAATATTTACATAGCACAGCGTATTAGGCTTTAGACATTTGGCAACTAGACCACATAAAAAGAGGACAAGACCCCCATCCTACATGTTTGGAATCAGGTATTCATCGGTCTCTATCTGGCAACTGTACACTGGTTCAAAGGGCAGCAGAGGCAACAGGCAGTTACTTCAGAGGACACGGAACACTATGATCTGGAAGCATGTTATGACGTTACCCAGTGTCATGTACCACACACCTTTCTCCAAGGTGGTCTCAACTCTAGAATGGCAGGTCCAGCTGATACAAAGTGAAGACAGACAACACAACATTTGCTCTGTGGAGATATCCTACTCATACTATGCATGTGCTGTGATTTTGAACATAACTCGTCCCAAAAACTTGTCACGATCATCCTGGCTTTTTAGGTTAGGTGATCCATCAATCTTGCACTCAACTGTTACTTCTTCCTCAGCACTGTTGGGAGCTAAGGTGACCTGAACAGCAACTAATGGCTGTAGATACCCCACATGCAGTTTTTTCCCATAATATGGGAAATATTTTAAGTCTATAATTCCATTATGAGGATAAGTTGTTATATTTGTTTGATCTTCATTCTTCAAAACACAATCTATCCTTGGCACTCCTTCCGGCTTTAATCCAATTATTCTGTTCATTTTCACAAGAATACAAGGTTTTCCTTTAGAATAGCCAAAATCAGGGTCACTCATACCACCGCATGCTTGAAGCAACAAAAGAGGAAACTGACATGCAACATAAACTGGACCCTTCTGTTCAAAAAGTGCTCCATCAGGACAGGTTGTGAGGTTCTTCTGTTCTTCTAAAGTATATGGTTTTAGAAACTTCTAAAGGTCTGCAATGTACCCTGCATAGGAAGTTGGGTCAGACAACTGAATGTATATTCCAATGCAGTCACTGGTTTTGGAAAAACCATAAGTCCTGGGCTAGGAATCTGGTCACGGTATTTTGGAACCTCATCTTTGAGAGTCTGAAGCATAACCCACATCGTGAATGAGAAGAGTGCAGCCAGGAACCCATAAAAAACTAGGTAGAAGAGCAAGATCAAACCCCAGCTCTTGGCGGTGCGCCCCGGGAACTCTCCGGTGGTCGGGTTGTAGATGAAGAGCTTCCACTCGGCCAGGCACTGGTTGAGGGACTTCTCGTTCTTCGTCATGGGGTGCGCGCGGACGGCTGGGGGAGCGGCGGCCGCGGGGATGGAGGCGGCGAGGGCAGCGGAGGCGCAGGCCGGCGACGGCAGGGGAGGGTGGGACAGCCGAGAACACCTCCTCGTGACAGGGAGTACTCCAGCCGACTCTGATTCTTTTAAAATGTTTGTAGACTTGGAGTCTCGCTATGTTGTCCAGGTGGGTCTTAAACTCCTGTCCTCAAGCAGTCCTCCCACCTGAGCCTCCCAATATGCTGGGATTACAGGTTTGAGCCCTCCACCCAGACAGTATTCTAGCTTTTTTTTTTTTTTT